GATGTAGATCGGGCATTGAAACTGAAAAAAAAGTAAAAACACTTTTGCAAAGGCTAATTTACCTTTACCTAATTATAAAAGTATGACTTAACAAGACCAAGTAACCAGTTTTTTACTTGGAAAGTTTTAGAGAAAGGCAATAATATAAAAAGTTGTAGCCAGTTTTCACTTGGATAATTTCAGAGAAAGGCAAAAAAATTAAAAATTGTGTTACCATGGTTACTCACAGGTTACAACTTGAATTATTAATCATTCCAATTACGGCCAAAGTGTAAAAGGTGGGCCTCATCTTAAAAATGTTAAATTTTCCCGAGTATTAGTTACTTTTCCATATTTCGTTCAGGGATTGATCCATACATGGGACGAATATACCAGAAGCTCATTGTTGATGTCCCTGACCAAGATAGTTTGGAATGTAGCTAAAAGAGTGTGAAACCACCATTCACTCAAGATAATGATTCTGAAGGGCATGGCATTTCTTTCATGATATTCTTGACACATCATCTTGTCATCTTTTGCTTTACAAATCCTACTTAAATTGAAAAGAAAATAATTCCATGACCATAAATTATGCCCAATGACCTTTTATATCCTACTGTACATTTACCCTGACATCTTCACTGTTCGTTCTCTCCTGGTTGCTTCATAGAGAATCTCACCCTCGTGTCTTTTGATATCAAATATATCAACAAGTGTTGATATATTTGATATCAAAAGACACGAGGGTGAGATTTTATTTATCATCCAACATCATTTTTCCAACTTTTTCAGTTTGAAGACAGCAGTAATAAGCAGTGTCTTAAGTGTAAGAGCAGAGTTCAGTAGCAGAGCCATTAGTGATGTCATTTGATTGTGACGTCATGGTAACCAATGGTCTGCAAAGTATTGTGATGCAATTTCATTGCAGCGATATCTACAGTGTAGATATCGCTTGATCTCACCAAAGCCATATCTCCTGTGGGAGCAAGTTTTGGATGATAAAGCAAAGTCACCTACAGTGAAAGGATGGCATTTTTTTCAAAAAAAATTAATCCTAAGAAGAAAATAAGGTATCGGTAAAAGGCACAATGCAGTATATGATTAAGTCATTTTTTTCTACTTTAAACAACAATTTATATTTTGTTATCCCAAATGCCTTGAGATTTTATGGATAAAAGACTGTAAAACAAATAGTTAAATTGATCTGGCCATGCATTTTTTCCTTTAAGACAATCATTACGTTGTTATGTCAGAATTCACATTAATCTTTCATTGTATAGCAGCTTGATTTAATTTTTAAAAACAGTTCTTTATCTTTTGTCTGGACTGTAAATGTCATGATAATGCTGATTCTGCTGCGAGGTGTTATTCTTGAGGTGGGATGAATAATTCACTAATCCCTTAGAGACAAGAAATGAGAAACTATCCAATTTCAGAACTTGTTGAACTGAGGCACGCCATTGCTTGCGTAGATCATGAGACGACTGTTATGTCTTGTGTTTTTGCCCTTCTGTTGTTCTTCTGACACTCCCCTGCCTGCAGCTTGGCATCAAGGGATTAAACCACGACTGGTTGCCTCCAAGTATACTGCAGGTCCAGTATAATAGTGGTCCCCCCCCCCCCGGGACCCCCAATAATTTATTTCAAGGGCCCTTTCAGGAAATATGAGGGTCCAGTAAAGTAAAAAGATGTTGTAGTGAACTGTACTGTAAGATTTGATAATTACTCAGGGCCTTTATATTTCTTGTCAAGAATGTGTTACAATGAAATTTTATATGCATCCATGCTATATATTTGTGTGTATTGGATGCACAGGTGTAAACCCTGATGGGGGGGGTATCACACTTACTGAGGCTAGCACTATAAAACTGGCATTAGTCCGGACTAGTACAAGCAGACAGCACACACGCATGTAGATAAGACGCAAACACACGTTAATGCAAGGTGAGATAATATCATGGCATATGGAAGGTCTTTTTTAAGGGTAAGGTAGGGATTTTGGTTAGTACGTACAGCTTTACACTATTTCAGTCATTTCACAGCATCCTGGCTTAGTATGGATGGAAAGCCTCAGATACAAGAACTGTGTACATCAAGACTAATCCGTACGAAATATGGTTAAAGGATGATTCTACCATGAATTTGGAATTTACTCGATTCTGATTGGTCAATCAGAAGCTATTAAATCACAATAAACCCCCTCTGATTGAAACAGCTGGTTTGACGGCTGCATCACCGCGGAAGCTAATATTCATAGAATAGTACTATTTTCAGTCATTGTCGGTAGGCATATTTGAATAATCATAATGGTGACGTGCGATGTAGAGTGAAAGCCTTGCAAAGTTTGCTTTGTTTTCTTTAGGGATGCCCACCTCATGTTAGCTTACCAAGTTGCCATGCTTATATTCTTTCAATGCCTGTCATATGTTCGAGTGAAGTATTACGGTGTAAACAAACTGAGTATATACAGCATCATATTTTGTTCAGTGATTCCGTAATTCAGATCGATAACCAACTCAAAACACTGGACTCAACCCATGTCGCTTCACTCAGTATATTTGCTTGCACCAAAGAGTTCGCGTTTTTTTTAATCATGGTAGAATGGAGATAAACATACTGTGTTTTCAATGAAGAGCTAGGTTACCTGTAGATTTAACTGCGCTATATTTAACATTTGAAACCTCACGCTGCGCCTTCGGTTCCAAATTCAATTTAGCAGGGTTAAATTTACAGGTAACCTAGCTCTACATTGAAAACACAGTATGTTTATCTCCTAATTGAATCATTGATGGATTTTTTTAGGCTTGTTGTGAGTCATTTGATTTTGATGTAATCATGGTAAATCATGTCTTAGAAGTCAACTGACAATAGGGTCATGGGTTGCCCAGTCATAGTAGGACCTGCAGTACGTACATAGCACATAGTTCTGGGTTCAAATACAAGATTTCCCATATTGGGTCCCAGCTTGAAACCAAACTTGTTTGGTCCCTGTGAGGATTTCAGGCGATCCTTAGCATTAAACCTTATATATATGAGGAGAATGGATTGGGTGGTGATGCTTGGTAGCTGGGTTTATAGGCCGTCATCAAACCTGCTGGATTTTCCAGTCTGACTTGTAAATTGGATCGAGGTTGGAAGTGAAACCATATACAATGTAGTCCTTCATCCATACATCATTATTTTGTAGTTAGGTCAATCATTTGCTAGACTGTTATTGATTATTATACCCCAATGGGACAAGAAAGACAAATGATGCTGTCTTACGATATAATAGACAAAACCATGGCAATTTGAATATTGTTAATGAGGGTAGTCTGTGTAATATACATAAACACATTTCACTGACATTGACATATCATACATGTTGGTTTATTCAGGTCAAAAGAGAAATATCAGGTACAGCACTATGTCGCACTATGCTTTATCAGAGTTTCAGACTGACGTCAATCACAGGTCATTGACCGATAAAATTTCAATTTGACTGATGGTTTGTTTAAGTAGTCAGACTTTTAACCATACAAATGCTAAGCAAGACGTCACATGTTTCATAATTTCATAAATAAAATGTAAATAGTAAGGATTAGTCCTACTCACAGTATCAATTTAATAAAACATATACAGCCATCAAAAATCGTAATTGAAATTCTGAGCAGCGAGTCTTTGCATCATACTTTCTGTATCATAGGGAAACACTGTCAGGAGCTATAGTGACTTAGTCAAATGCATTTCTTATCGCGAAGGTCATGGCCAGGTCATATATATTCATTCGATCACAAACGTTATTGCATTGATTTGTTGTTATGGTTCATCCTCTATTTTTGTGGATTTGACTTATTGACATTTGCGATTGACTTATTACATTTCTTGGGTCCAAGTCATGGTCCTATATATATACTGTTTTTTTTCTGTCTAAATCACTGTTAATGCATGTGTCTCACCGCTGTCTGTGTTTGGGCCACAGAAACAACAAGCAGTAATTACTGGACTAATTCCTTGTCAGACGGATCCTTGTTTGTGTGATCTGTCTCTGGCGTATCAACAAAGATTGCATTCAGAAGATGGTGGCAGTAATTCCCCAAATGTCTTTACAATTTGGAGGTCTTCTACGTGTGACACATGGCCCTCTGTATAGGGCACAGGGCACAAACCAAGTGAAGTTAAGCAATGGTGGTCGCTGAGAGGTCTTGGAATAGTGATGTGTTTGGCAGACTCTTGAGATTTTCTTGGGCTTCAGTCCTGCCCCCACACTGTAGCACATGTTTGGTAGTAAATTCAGAGGCGAGCAGGATGAAAATCTTGTGTAATTAATTCTCTATGGCCTTACGGAAACAGACTGCCTCTGTGGTCTAGTGGTAGAGCATCCTATCGGAGAGCAGAAGGTCAGGGGTTTGATTCCTGGCCGCCTTAGTAACCTAAAGACGTTAAAAGTATGGTACTTGTTGTTACCCAGCCTGTCGCTCAGCATTAACGGGCTAAAACAAGGACTGGTAGGCTCGTAGTCAGTATACTGTGTCTGAGTGGGGTATTCATGTCAAACTGCGGCATGGTATCTCTGAGTGGGCTAGCACTGTTAAATCGGCATTAGTCCCATTTCACCTCACCTCACTAATGGGTAAACATCTAAGACCTGCATGATGCCATCACTTCAGGTTCACGTCAAACATAAAGCTGACATGCTGTAATACAGTTGAAATCTACTCTCCCACCCCTTTATCCAACCAAGTACACATGATAACTTTTCTAACACCAACAGTCGCAAAGAAGCATGAAAGGCACACAGTCCTCATCAACCCTGGATTGTAAAAAGTTAAATATCCCCAGGTCCCCAGACTCAAATTCTTCTCCAGCAAATTTCTTAGACCCCCTTTATTTTGAACACTGCAGTACCATCAACATCCATCAGACTAGACTACAATGGTGAAGACCTTGAAACAGACAATGCCAGCACTGTAGCCTGTAGTATGATGTGAGCAGTGGGAAGCGAGGTAGTAGGTCTGACATTACCACCAGTATCAGTTACCTCTGGGAGGAACAGGCTGCAAGTACACGCAGATGTCAAGAACAATCACACCCACAGAAGCAGCCAGCGCTCCCAGTCTAAGTGGTGACTAACCTGGTAGTGGTATCATTGACTACCTCACCACTATTTCCTGGAGGAACTATACCTGATACTCATGGATCTTCGATACAGGTTTGTTGTGTATTACCAATCTTGGTTATTTGGTATGTTCTGTTAGTTTGTGGACTGGTTAGTTAGTTCTTGAGCACTACTACAGCCTCTAGTAGTGCTGGTACCGTTCAGATTCACTGCAGGACCGTTCTGGGAGGAATACGTACCGTATTCGACGTAATAAGTGCCCAGGGCGCTCTCAAAATTAAAAATAGGGGGCCCTTATCATGCTTATTAGAATATTATTTTGTTGAAAAAAAAACAGAGTTGAAAGATTGTAAATTTCCTGGTTCATGCTGACAGCCTGAAATGATACAAAAGAAAAGTCTGTCCGTATTATACACGACAGATATATTTTCCAGAATTAAATTGCCCATAATTAAGGGTGCATATAACAAACGAGTGCGCATTATACATAAAATAAATATGTCTTGTGTACATTGATCAATCGGAAGAGGTGCTAATTGGGATTGTTCTTTAGCCATTATATTAGCAAATATCGCTATGGGCGCTTATTAGAGCGGGGTGCTTATTACGTCAAATACGGTAATCCCTGTGGATCTTTGATACAGGTTTGTTGGGTATTTAGTGATTTCTTTACAGATTTGACTTATATTATTGAGTTAACTGGTTATTTAATTGTGTTTGGTTTGAGGGACAAACTACAGTTGTATTTTTAGTAGGGGCAATAATATTGGTAGTATGTGGAATTAGATGGCTATTGATTACTTGGTGCATCAAGTTGAAGTAATTGCTTGTTGACATGAAATGTCCTGGCATTTGGAGATGTAGATGTAAACAGTCCTCGTAATGGATCGATGTTTGGACATTTTTGTAGGGTTCAGACTACTTTTGTGATGTTCGTTCTGGATTATTCTACAAGTCTGATATAATTGTCATTGGAGTGGTTACTGAATCATCATTTTGACTGTTTGCTATATGCCTGGTTGTGTTTGAATACTCTCTGCGACCGTAAATTTGTGTCCATTTCTGTCAGTGATGTCATGTTCTTGCAATATGTATGTTCTTGAATTTTCTAAGTGAGTCTGTTGAGTAACATTGGCAGTATATCCAAATTATATTATGATTATCTGGGGCGGTGGGGTAGCCTAGTGGTTAAAGTGTTTGCTTATCATGCCAAAGCCCCGGGTTCTATTCCCAACATGGGTACAATGTGTGAAGCCTATTTGTGATGTCCCCTGGCATATTGCTGGAATATTGCTAAGTGTATATACTCACTCACTCACTCATTAGTATCTTGGATGATATTTAAAAACTCAACCAAACATTATTTTATATATTACAAATATAAGTATCACATATGTTGCAATACTTTTTTACAGGTATTGATATTTAAGGGATATTCTCTGCAGGGAGAATAAATTATGAGGGGCGCCTCCCTGAATGGTTTGGTCTCTCTAGTGTTTTATGATACAATAAACAATTACCAAGAGTTGTTTATTTCTTATATGAGGTATCAACACTATGTACAGTCTCCTTAAGAATGTTAATAAAATTTACAACTTTAGATAGATTTACCCACATTTAAATATTGATGACTCCCTGAATGCAATCCGATCTCGGCATTATCTGACAAGTCCATTATGAACAGGCCCAGAGTTCAGTGTTATTTCCTGAATATTCTCACAAACATCAAAACAATGAAAAATCAGCATCTATATCTTTTATTCCCAAACATACTCACTAGCCTTTCAAAAATAGCATCTTTCAACTTATGACGTCGTCCAGTTTCAAATGTTACATTGTTGAATCTCCAGAAATAATGTCATGATAGGACTAAGTTTTAGTGTGACATAAGCCACGACTCTTTCTTCAATTTTTGTGTGTGCTTTATCGCATAGGTATCTTATATTTGGTAATAGTTACACTTCTAAATATATATCCTATGAAGGTACGTGGGTTAACCAAAGTGAGATCTGTAGTCTGTCTTACATAACCTGATACAAATATATCAAATACAGCCCATGCAAGTGTATACTGTTTGGCAAGTCTAGATTTCTGCAGTATCAGGGGTGAGATCTGCAACTATCAGAATTGTTTGCCATGTCACCTATTATTGTAAATCATCATTTTGTAGTGCAGTTTTTTCACAAACTTGAAGGCAGATGACAAGACAAAGGCTGTAGATCTGAGGAGTGTGATGAAGCCAATCGGTGCACGTTTGGTCATGTCGGCCTTTGACAAAGTGTTGGGGGGGGGGGGGATGTCTGGACTGCTGGAGTGGTCAATGATGCCTAGTTTGACATGAGTGGGTAGAACTCTTGACCCCAGCAGTGATAGCTCACCGGATGCCTAGTGTGTAATTCCTTTAAGTTAAGTTCCTTAAAGTTTTACAGGTATTGACCCCCCAAAGTAAACTATCAATACCATGATAACTTGTGAGTAAATACAGTACTCAATAGCTCAAAATAGTATAGGGGTGGTTGGGTAGCCTAGTGGTTAAAGCATTCATTCATCACGCCGAAGATCCGGGTTCAATTCCTGACATGTGTGAAGCCCATTTCTGGTGTCCCCCACCGTGATATTGCTGGAATATTGCTAAAAGCGGCGTAAAACCATACTCACTCACTCAAAATATTTAGAGTCCTGTAACTTACTGCAGCATGTTCAGTTCAAATTCAGGTCGGTGACGTCAGATCTACAGATAACATCTCTACATAGTGTGTTTATTCTCCTAATTGACCACAAAAACTGTTAAACGAGAAAAAACAACAGGTATTGCCTTAGTTTAAAATAATTAGCTATTATAAGGATCATGTTGGTGGGGTATATATTTCCTTTCTGTGCAGCTAATGAATGGATCGACTGGCATATATCCTTGATACACGCAAACACTGGCAGCTAATTTGGCATTGGGTTTTGATAACCATACTAATGAGCATTGAAAACACACGTTGCAGGATAATGTCTGGTGATGGATGCTGGTTGCTGCTCTATCAGTCAATGCATCCTTATAATCTGCTAGATTGATTTGTTTAAGTATGGGACACAATAGTGTACTGGTAACAGTTATAGGAACTACCACCCCGTGGGGATAGGCTAGAATTGGTCCCCAGCAACTTATGAATGGATTGGTGTTCACAATATTGATCACTGGATTGTCTGTCCAAGACTCGATTATTTACAGACCGTCATGACATAGCTGGATAAATATTGCAGAGTGCAGAGTTAAACAACAGATAATTGAAACAGATATATCCATTTCGTGTTGATTTGATTTTAGGATTAGGCCTACGTGCAATTGTGTTCATTACAGTGTTGTTGAGTATGTTATACTGCACCGTGTGTGTAGACATTAATGTTGAATACAGTATGTGCGTGACTGGTTTCATGGTAACTGTCAAGGTGATGATCGGAGAGCATTGATGCACATCTGGACAGAATTGACAGAATGATGATTTTTATCCAAATATATCATCATGGCTAGCATGCAATAACAAAGCTTGAGGCCATTAATTAGTTGAATGAGAAATACATGCATTGTCAATTAATTCAAAGTGTGTTCTTGTCATTTGGTTCAGCGCAAAATGTGTTCTATACATGGGGTCTATTGATGAAATATATAAAATCATCTTTATTTATTTATTTATTCATTCATTCATTCATTCATTCATTCATTCATTCATTCATTCATTCATTCATTCATTCATTCATTTATTTATTTATTTATTTATTTATTATTATTAATTAATTATTATTATTTTATACCACAGGTATCCAAGTTCTAGTATCTGCTCAAATACAATTTTATTTGTTAATTCCAGTTATCATTCTCAACTCCCTGGTGAGTATACAAGCGCTAGAGGGTTTTTACATCCACCTCGGGAGAAATTTTGTTTCATTCCTAGACCGGTGCTTAGATAGGTGTGCAGGGCAAGACATTACACAGCATGTATAGTCATGCGACACATTTTAACTTTGATCAACTTCAGCATCTCATACTTAGCATTATAATGGCAGCACCTGATTGCAATAATGTTTGGCACAGAATTTAAAAAATACATTTCTGCACAAAGATAGTCATCTCAAGATACAACATTGATCTTGGCGCCATGTCAATGCCCCTCTTCAAGGTATTCTTGTATTGTGTAGATGTTTGGAAGTGTTTATTGTTAGATGCCAGGGTTGCACAGTCAGATTATATCTTAGTTCGGGGGGGGGGGGGGGGCATGATACAGCAGGGTCAGTTGGTGCATCAAAGAAGTATATGCTATATCTGGTAGCAGGAATCCTTTCTTTGATCCGAAGAAGTAACTTAGAAATATTTAGTTTGTGCTGCAGTCTAAACTATGAGCTTCAACTTTGAAAAAAATAGATCTCTAATAATATTTTTTTTAAAATATCAATGAAAGAACAGTCAGGCAAATAAATTTAGATCGTCTATCATCTCTGCATTTTTTGTAGGGGAGGACTTTTGTCGACAGATCCATTATCCAAAATATATAATGAGTTTTGTCAAGAATATGAGAAATAAATAAATCAGAGAGCAAATTTGAGCCATTCCTCATTGATTGATTCATCTTATCCAGGCAGCATCTCTGCATCTCTGCAGCATCCAGGAGTACTAGGATCCAATTCAGAAGAGGAAGTCAGATTTGTAACTGAAATGTTGTTTGAGATTGTGCATTGGCACAAAGTGCTCTGACTTTCATCAAGGTCTTTGAGTGAACAGGCTGCCAGGCTGTCCTGACAGTGCCATCTGTTTGCCAGACTAACTACTTACTCTGTAAATGATGTTTAATTTTCTCAACTCCAGACTTCTAATTCCCATTTCGAGGTTATGAGTTCATATCAATTGCTTCTCAATCATGTCAATCATCCCGAAGGAAATGTGTATGGAAAGAGTTTAGCTTCAGTTAGGTATGCGTTAGGATCAAGGGGCTGTGTGTATGGCAGGTCATTGTGTGATAGTTGTACAGAATACTTTGTTAAGGCTGCACTCTTTAGGATGGCAGCGTGAATATATGAGTCCAGACCAGACCAGACCAGACCAACCAGTG